GGGCATCATGGGCATGCCCATGGGCATGCCTTGCATGTTGTGGGGCATGCGGCTGTGGTTCATGTTCGGGTGGCCTTGATTGCCATTGGGGTAGTTGTTGAACGGGTCCATCGTCGAGAGTTCTACAAGCAGCGTCAGCTCCGCATGCCACCACAGAGGTCTAGGATACCGTTTTGCCGCCGAGGTCCGTCGCGCTCCCTGCTTGCGCCCGAGCCAAGCAAATGATTAGTAAGCACGATTACGAAATCAGACCAGGGCACGTGCCCCCTCACTTCTTACAAACACCAAGTCACTTTAAAACCCTAGCCCTACTGACATCATGCGCGTCTCTGATTGGCGGATATTGCCAGTCAAAAGAATTCGAGCAGTAGCCGCCGCATTATAATGCATCTATTTTCTCGCGCATACTAAAATCAAATGATATAATAAACAAGGCAGGTAAGAACAATGCCATTCAAGAAATGCCCTTGGTTGGTCACGCGGTCCGGTAAGGTGCGGGAGGCCCGTAACGGCTCATGACTTGAAGTTTGTATCCATCCAACGGTTTCAGTGCCGACTTGTTTTTCACGCCACTGAATGTCTGAGTTGCTACACAGCGCAAGAGACTTGACCGTGTGAAACACCGTGTCTTGTGTGCGAAACGAAGTGAGAAATAAAATATGGCGCGAAACCTAGTCACGAAAATCAAACCAACATTGTAACAACACTTCGTCGCTTTGAACCGCGCACAAAGACGCTGCGTAGCACTTACGCTCGCTTGCGCTCTGCGTGATCGATAACTGGACGAGCTCTCTGCAGTGATACGAAGCCGGGCAACGCAGCAACCGAAGCGTTGCAACTCGATTTGCATGCTAGAAAAGAGTTGATGTTTTTTCGCAACAAGCATTGGTGGCATCAACCTTCGGGAGGCCTCCAACCTCCGGTATCTAGTCGCTACACGCTACAGGTTGGACGTGCTCGGGCGAACCAGACGCTATCAGAATGGCAGATGACACAAACGACGAGAGAGTAAAAGCAGCGTCCACGCGACTGGTACCGCCGTTGGAGCACATGACTTACTTCGTTTGGTTGTGCCATGGCCAAGCGAGGGTGAAGCGAGTCACGCAGTGGTAGTATTAGCGTTAATGTTCTAAAGCGCACGCTACCGAGCGGGAACCTATACCTTGCATGTTGATGTCATGCATCCTTCTGCACACGGTGATGACTCCCCCGCATGACAACGACTTGCATTCGAATTCCGTGCGTCCATCGCCCCTGTTTCGGTGTTGGAAGCAGGCAGTAATCCAAGGTCCAACGCCGCATCGATAGCAGTCCCAGAGCAGGCAGCTACCTCGCCGGGCGCAAGTAGCCGCCAAGTCCTGCGGTCGCTACGTTGGTCGCTGGATCAGCGGCGTGCTTCGCGCCAAAAACAAGTACTTTGAGACGCCCGGGAACGACGAGATCGTCAATGTACGAGGAGGCCACACCCGGACGCGCGCAACATATCGTTCTACATGAAAACCGAGCTGCAAAAAGGCCTTGACGAGCTCAACCAGATTCGATCAGACCTTGCCAACATGCGTCGAGCGGGCGTCCTCGAGCATGCCGGGATCCTGACGAGGCGCGCCTCATCACACTTGCCTCGCTCGACATGACCAAGCAAAACCAATTTACGGCTAGATGCTGGTAGTAGTAGCATCGAGCCGTACCGCCACACTCTGGCTTTACAGAGCGTGCTTTGCTGCAACATCAACCAACCATTGCGTCATGGGTCGCCGGGCTGTCACGTCGACAGCGGGGGCTCGGCGGTTTACGTTCTCGACTGCTCGTCCGCCAGCAAGATTGGCTGCACAAATACGTATACATCGCAGCTTACCACTACGACGTAGTCATCCAACTCCGCTGCATGGCCAAGCAACTTGCTGCTCGAGACATCGTGCACGATTTCCAATCCTTCCACACAGCCCTGCTAGAAGAAAGAACGCTCGTAGACGATCGCGATGCGTCCGGATCGATGACCGATGACACGACGGCGCTGGCATGTCACTTCAGGACCGGAAACTGACGCCTGTCCCGGCCTGTTTTAAACACCGGCGCGACACCACGGGCGTTTTGAGTTTGACGGGCTCAAACCCTCGGGCCCATTGAGTTTGCTCGACGTCCTGCATCCCGTCGCCTGCGCCCACCACATCATAGCAGTGCATGATAGGACGTCTCGAGGTAATAGCAGTAGCTGCGGGTGGCGGGCAGCGCGGGGGCGTGGTCGACTGGATGTTGACTCGACAAACGTCACCCTTGAAATCTTTCCGCTCGGAGCGATCTTTTCGTCATAAAATGGCAAAATTTTATGTTATCTTGTGTTTTGTATCCACGACGCCAAAGTCGCCATGCAAGCCACCCAAGACGTTGAGCTTGAAGTTCCGGGCCAGAACGCAAACACCGACCGAGAGATGACCACGGAGACGACGTACGGCCACCAGGACGCGCTGCCGCCACTGCCGCTGCCCGCCCTCGAGCAGACCCTCGAGGCCTACGTCAAGAGCTGCGAGCCGCTGCTCACGCCCGCCGAGCTCGAGCACACGAAGGCCGTGTGCCAC